CTCCCCCTCCCCCTCCCCCTCCTCCTGCTGTTAACATGAAGCCCCTCTGGTTTTCGTCTGTCTGCCACTTCACTTTGGAGGTGAGTGAGCTGTCAGCTGGTTCTCTAGCGGCCCACTTCTTTCTTGGGGTCAGACAAGAAGTTATGAGAATAAATATGTTCCCTTTATCCTGCACATTGGCTGCTAGTCTCCTGAAGTCCCTCTGTCTAGATGTCTCCCTCTGGTACTTGTTTCATTTTTCCAATTGCTGATGATGTTCTGACTTAGCACTGTAGATGTGAAGTCCATGGTTATAGCGTAATAACATAAAAATATAAGGACTGTGGATGTTGCCCTAGAACAGTGATGGTGAACCTTTTAGAGCTCAGTGCCAAAACTGCAACCCAAAAGCCACTTCTTTGTCACAAAGTGCCAACACTGCAATTAAACTTGAGGTTTAATTTAAAACAGGTTTTAGTTTAGAAAAAACAACTCATACATCAACATCTTTCGTCTTAAAAGAAAAACATGGTAACACAGGTGCCAAAGGTTCGCCACTACTGCCTAGAGTCATGAACAGAGAGAAGGAAGTAGTTAAGTCTGCGGTGTAGTGTGTGTGTGTGTATGTGTGCGTGTGTGTGTGTCTCCTTGGAAAGGCACCCGTGTACTGGACAGTGTCCTTTCCAGGGTCCCCTGAGTGACCTGCTGGCCACTGAACCCAGGGTTCCTGGACGATGTGTTGGCTGCTGTCAGATTGCCTGAGGCCCTAGAAGCACGTTTTGCTTTACTCCCTGTTGGGCAAGGTAACTCTTCTGATACAGACAGGTCTCTTAACTGAATCTTTTCAATAGTTTCCTGCCCTGGGTTTGTAGCATTGCAGTCCTGACCTTCCCCTGAGTGGAAGCTATCGCCAGGAATGAGAGGCCCTCAGGTGCCGTTGTCATTCAGCCTCTGGGTTGTCTTCTGTAGGTTTCATCATGAAATAGGACAGTTGTCTCTATCTAGAATTTCTTAGATAGGGTCTGGGGGGTTGGGGATGCATTAATCCCAGCATAAGTGCTCAGATGCGCTGTTTCAGTATGGTCATGAGGACAAGGAACTGTGTAGAGGTGAAAAAACAGTGGACCTGCTTCCATGGGCTCCTGTGACATGAAGACACATTGCAGTGATAAAGTCCTACAGCCTGTGATACCTTACTGACTCTTGTGCATTGGGTGGACAGCTTTGAGGGCTGGGTTTTTCCAGCTTATTCTTGATAGAGTCCAAGGACTGGATAAAGTGGCCCCTTTCTCTTGTGTACAAGTTACAGGATCTTCTGAGTTTCTCCTCGCGTTAAGGAAAAAGCCACAGTGTTACAAAATACCATCTTTTGAAGACTCTGGCTGTACAGTGTTTTCTTCACCAGTAGTTTCATTTCTCCAAAAACCATAACAAAACAGCTATTGCTGGGAATAAAGTTAACTGTAGCTAACTAGACATATGATAGGATTATAGGGTCATGTGAGGATTGAAAGTACGAGAATTTATTAAATTAGAGAAACAGACTGTTTGCAATGTTCAGAAGCCCACCTCACCTGGAAAAACTCTGAAAGGGATTTAATATATGTTTCCCCATATATGTAATTCTGTACCTTTGCCTCTTTTCACCTCAGACAGGCTCAAAGCAAACACCGAAATCCCTAACTCATCTGAGTTAGAGCTGCTTACACTATGTGTGATGTTTGGTAAAAGCTCAGGAAAAGTGAAGTTGAAGGTTTTGCCTGTGGGTGATCTTTCCCAGGATATCTTGATGGATACAAAGAAGTCACATTTAGGATCTGTGGGCCTGCCCTTCATTAAGATGTGTGTTTCAACAGAAATAGGCCAGCCACCCTCAATGCTGCTAGTGGATGCCCTAGGGAAGGTATAAGCGATTCCATCCGGAAATTACAATAATGTGTATATATTCACTTAAAATTGAAACTTCCTACCACAACCACCAAAGTTTCCAGGCTAGGAGTAGAGTTTTTAATTTGGTTAGACGGCTGGGGGAGTCCCCAGCTTCCCTTTTCACATTTGATGAGAAGTAAAATGTTAAAGAATTAATTATCTTTCCAAAATGTAAACACCCTCTTTACTTTAATCTAGGATTTTCTTTCGCTCCTGATTTTTATGTTCATAGTGGCAGCTCAGTGGTCTTTTCCTTTCAGCTTATTTTTGGACCTGATGTGTCCCACTTTATTTTGCTGAGTGAAATCACAGAAAGTAACAGAAGTTATGTTTATGTGTGGACTTTGAGTCGAGTACATCTGAGATAAAAATTGCCCTGCTGTCCTAGCTGTGCACAATTGTTTCTTGCTATCATTTGCACTATTTTAACTTAAAACTAACAATACTTCCTAACCCCATCCAGTTTGCTTCAATTCATCTAGCAAATATTGCTGCTTGTTTGGATGCAAATGATGGTTATCCTGAAGGCCCTTCCTCTGTCAGACAATAAATGTCGTCATTTAATCAATTCTTTCCTTAAATTGAAATGATTCTTTTAATGATCTCCATAATCTTCAGAGGGAAAAGGAAATACTGATTTTGATACAGAGAAGGAAGCAACAGGGAGATATTTGTTAATGTTGCAGATAACCCCATTAAAGGAAAAATTTAAATGTTGGATATTTTTGGTTGTAGTTATTATATAGTAAGATAGGCTAGAAGACTCTTGCTCATACATTTAATAACTAAATCTAGATCTTATCTTTGAAGCCATCACTTTCCACTTGGCCTGGTTAGCTCCCTCTTATTGGATCTGAGTATAGAATCATACTTTGATTAGAAGGTGGGGATATTGCCAGAGAAAGGGAAGCAGTTTTAATGTATCAATACCATTAACCATGTGACTTGGAAAACAGTTTTTGAGAGAATTGCCTTAAAAGCTGTTCTCTTGGACCTCTTTTTTCATTTCCTCACCTCTGCCTTTTCTTATTTCCCAAACAAATCACAGGGGTACACACCTGTTGACCCAAGGCAAACGGAAAGACCCCATTTTTAAACCTTTCCTAAAATAAATCCCAAGTGCCAGGCACCTGAAAGACTACTGCATACAGTCTCCCGAGTGCTCCATGCCAGCGTTCCAGATGCCCCATCTCCCTTTTGCTCCCCACGCCCCGGATAGTTTCACACCTCCATTCCAAGCTTTCATTGTCTTTCCCCCCCTCCTCTTCCTGCTCTTATTTTTAACAGCAGGAACGAATTTCATATACACCTCCTGAGAGCCCGGTGCCGAGTTACGCCTCCTCAACTCCACTTCATGTTCCAGTGCCTCGAGCGCTCAGGATGGAGGAAGAGTCGATCCGTCTGCCAGCGCACCTGCGTGAGTGTTTGCCCGTGAGGCCATGGTCCACAGTCCACGTTGGGAAGGGGAAGGACTGAGGGACAGTCTGCTGGAGGGCATGGGGAAGGGGACGCCTGCAGAAGGCTCCAGGCCAGAAAGAGATCGAGGTGGCTTTCACGTGACTCTAGACTCTTTTGCCCCCACCCTATAATGGATCTGAAAACTTTGAGATTCTTGTCCTTTGTGTCATCTCTGATGGTGAAATTAAAAAAAAATTCTGGAAATGTGTAATATGTGGCAGAGTCAACTCAGGCTCCTGGGAGGCCAGATAATTTTTTCTTTTTCACAGTTTATCTGCATTTCTAAATTTGCACTTACTGGCCTTTGGTATTATCTTTGGTCCAAAATGTGGCTTGGTTTCTTATTCAGACTCACTCTGCTTTATTATTAAGCTGTATGCTCTTCCATGCTGGTTACTTTTCTGTCCTTCTTTGTATATACCAACATGTATCCTTTCTCTTGTTCCCCTTCTCGTCCCCTCTCTTGCCTGGGTTTACCTTGTCTCGGCAGCATTGTTTTGTAGTATTCCGCCTTTCTTTTCCAAATCATCCCTGCCCCTTGCCTCCACCGCCTTCCATCTGAACCCTCACCCGCAGCCTGGCAGCAGTGGCCCAACACAGCTGGGCTGCTGGTGCTGATCTCCGGAGCATTGACACCTGTCACTTCCTTCTTTCTCTCTCTTTCTTTCCCCTATTGCCACCCAGCCCAAGTGATGAAATGTGATTGGGGCAGCTGATTCCCATCCTGGTGAGTGTCTAAGAAATGTCTGATTCTGTGGCTTGAATGTTGCCCAGGTTGTGGCGGACCCTGGGGCCATCTTGTGGACCTCTAGTTGATTCCCAGTGATTTAAGTGGTGGCACTTAAGTCATGCTCACTATATCTTTTTGGCACAGCAGTGGTCCACAAGTTATTCTCATCTTTTCCTAGAAAGTGGAGTACAATAGGACACAGGATACAGGCTCCATTTTTCTCTCTCTGCAGTAAGTCAGAGAATTAGATAACTGACACTGAGTACTGGGAGAATATTACTGGCTTGTCCCTTCTCCATAATGAGGATAGTTGCTGGGATTTTTGCAGGGGTTTGGGGACAAATCCTGCAGCCTCCTGTGTCCATCAGAATTTTACAGAGTTCCTGCCTCCTACAGTTGGGACACTCCTGTTTCACATGGGCAGGGAAATAAAGGACACAGCTCTACTCTACCATCTTTTCTTCTGCAGAGAACTCTTAAGTAAAGGTTGGGATAAAGGGAACATGGTGTTGGCCGAGGATACTGTTATCCTTAGTAAACTGGAGTGTGATGGCACCACTGCAACATACAGAACTGGAAGAGAAATAGCAGGCAGGTAGTAAGTTTCCATCCAGTGTCCTGTACCCACTATATTTCCTTGAGGACTATTCACTTCAGGGTGGAACACACCCATGTCATGCAGGCACAGCACTTCCACTGCCTAGTCCCATTCATTTGCTCTTTCCACTCATGGTTATTGATTATCTGCACTCTGTCAGCCATTCTTATGGGTACTGTGGGTGCAGAAATGAAGAAAGCAGACAAAACTGTCTGCTCCTACAGAACATAAACATTAGTACAGAGAAAAAATTGCACATGCTTGTCTCAAAATAGGCAGAGATTTCTTTCACAACTTCTTATTCCTGTATTTTACGACATTCCCCCAGGGAGACCCTACCTCCTGATTCACCCCGGATGCCTTTGACATACATAAGCTCTTTGACTGCAGAACTATCCCTCCCTAAGAACTCATCATGCTAAAAACAAACAAACAAACATATCAAACTGGTAGTTGGGAAATCACAGCTCCTTCTGCTATCCAGCTGTGAGTCAATCCTTCAAGTCAGTTTTCCTACTTCGCAATACTGAATTAGGAGAGAAGAATGTTTAGCAGCCTTCCTAACTTTAAAATATTACAGTTCTCATCTGAGACATCCGTCTCACTTGGAACTCTTTCTTTCCCACCAACACTTTAGTTTCTTGTGTAGATAGTTTCCTCATGGTGCCAGCTCTGTACTGCATCCCAGCATCTAAGTAGATCCTACTGTCTGCCTCACACCCAGTCATAGGCACCAGTAACTATTGTGGGATTGTACTGGGCACTGTACAAAGTCATGTAGATATAATTCTTTTTAATTCTTACAACAGTAACTGTAAGGTGGGTTCTTTATATCCATGTCATATATAGGCCTTAGAGAATTTAATTAATTTCAAGATTTGTCAAAGAACTAGTAAGACTTAGAGGCATAATTTAAACTCAGTTCTGTATGACTCCAAAGCTCTTTTCCATTTGGATGGATGGGTGAATGCAGGTATGAGACTTAGCAAGTATTCACTGATGATGTGTCCACAGCATTGGTTTATGACAGGAATCCATTCTGTCCATTGCTGAATAGTTTGTAGGTCACCCTTCAGTGGGTGGATGGATGGATGGGTGGATCCTCACATAGATAATTAACCAGTGTAGAGCAATAGCATGCTTCTGGGACATAATGAATAAACATTATGGATTTAGTTCAGGAGAATAGTATTTCCTGAATGCCTGCTCTGTAGCTAGTTGAGATACCTCTTCTTGGTGATCTGCTGAGCCCTGTCGGGACGCCACTGGTCTTGACATCTGGAATGAATCCTCTGGAAGTGGAGGTTCCCAGGCTCTTGCTGTTTGCCCTCAGCTGGGGCTTTCTGAAGAAGGCTCAGCTGCCCGCCTCCTTTCCCCATTCCAGGACCTGGCCACTTATCATGCTGTCTGAGAGAAGCATAGACGGTCGAGGCTGGGCTGTGGTCACTTGAAGATGCATCCCAGCTGAGTTTCCAAACCTAAAAGAAAATAAATACTCTAACAAGGGAATGGGGTTACTGCTGTTTTAATCTGGGATTCCAGACAATTCCCAGTGGAATGCTCGTGGAAAGTACGGGGAAGAATCTGAAAGCCAAGACAGCAGCAGGACTTTTATGGTATTACTAGGTTGAAAGCATTTTAAGCTGCTTGTTTTAAAGAGATACTCACCAGACTGGTATGGCTCCAGGGGCTTCTTTTCCCATTTACCATTGATCTCCGATCTCTCCCTCTTTCTTTTTCTTCTTTCATTCTTAACTCAGAATACCTCCTTGGAAGGGAAAGGGCAGAGATCATTATAGTTAAGGTTCTCATATGGAAAGTTTCTCACCACTTTGCTCTGGGAACACAGAGCTAGGCCTAAATTAAGGACACAGCATGACAAATTAATAAGCCATTGAAAAGTAGAAGGTGATGCTTTTCCTTTTATTTGCCTGTGATAAGAGCAAAGTGATAAAAAGGAAGCAGTGCTATTAAGTGGTCCTGAAGAGGAAGGGGAATCTGGGCCTTGGGAAGCAAAAGAGCCAAAGGAAGAAGGGTTGGCCCCTCAGCCTGGTCTGCCTCACTGCCCAGGCTTGTGGGATGGAGCCCTTCTGCCATCCTCCAGCAGCAGCTCTCCCCTGTTCTCCAGGATAGCAAACACGAACATGTTTATGGAGAGCTTAGGAAGGGCATAGTTTTTTCTTCTTCCATAAAGAGTACGGATTTTTGTTTTTAAGCTTGAGGCCAGAGGAGCTGATGTGCAAGATTATAGCAGGCAGGTGAAGAAAAACATTCTGTTCTTTAAAGAGAACATCAACTTGAAGGACCAAGGCCCCCAGCGGTACTCAGTCAAGGTCACCCTTGAGCTCCTCAGTAGAGGAGGGCTGCAGCCTAGAGAAGCATGGCTTTTCCCTGTTCTCATCAGGGCATCCATGTGTAAGGGAGGGACTTACAATTTTTCTGCCCAAAGGGCAACTTTTTGAAACTCACAGGAAAGTGAGTGTTGAAGGGAGTACCAGAAGGCATGTCATGGTGCCAACCTGCTTATGGCAGAGGCTCTGTGTTATCTCTCTGTTCCTGTATGACCAAATACCTGATAATCAACTTAAAAGGAGGACCAGTTAATTTTGGCTCATGGCTTCAAAGGTTTCAGTCCATTGTTGCTTGTCCCTGTTGTCTTTGGGCTGTGGTGAGGCAGCACATCATGCCAGGAGCATATAGTGGAGGAAACTGCACACCTTATGGTGGCCAGGAAGCAAAAAAAGAGTGAGAAAGGGGAAAGGGACCCAATCCCCCCTTGTACACCTGTGTCTTGTGTTTTGTTTTGTGGATGGAACTTAGTGACACACTACCACTGACCAACATTGCCCCAGTCAGTCCTTTTAAATTTTTTTGTTTTGAGACAGAGTCTCATTATGTTATCTAGGCTGGCCTTGAACTTGGCAATCCTCCTGCGTTGGCCTCCTGAATGGCTGGAATTCCAGACGTGCACCATCATGCCTGGTCAGGCCAAGCCCCCAATGACCTAACTTCCTCCCTTAAAACACCACCTCTTGTAGGCTCTGCCCTCTCCTAGTAGCAACACAGGCTGGTGACCGAGCTTCCACACAGGAGCCTCTGAGAGATGTTTAAGATCTTAACCTTCACAGGTGTACAGTCCATTCGTGGGGGTTCAGTTAAACACTGTGCCTCAAATAATGATGCCCAGGCTGGACCATACACTAACAATAGAAATGTATTTCAGACATATGAGGCAGAATTTAAATTAAATGTCTTTTCTTTATTTTAAATTTCTTTTGATCATTATCATTTCACATTTAGTTGATTTAATCACAACTGCTCATGGGTTGATGTTATACCATTTCCCAGAGCTTTGCATCTTGCTGTGTCTATTTGGCCTGCTCAAAATCCCTGTGAGTTGGTTGTTAAAAATCAGAACCTAGGACTCATTCATCATGTTTAATAGGGTTCCGGTTTACGATGTTGCAGGTTAATAAATAGCCATAATAGCCGCTCTGAGTTTTCTACAGTCAGAACACCAGAAACCCTGGCTTGCTTTCCTTTCCTTGTGAATCTTTCAAATTTCTTACATTACTATGCCTGCTTGTGTGTGTTTAATAATTTAATTTAATGTCTTCCTTTGGAAACGTTA